TATCGATTTAAAGCTTTCGTGACTGCAGGGATTCAGCTTCTTGGTTCTTTCGGTAAAGTCACGTAGAATGGAAATAATAAAATAATAAAAATAAAACATTATAAAATTATTCTCACGACGTTTCGGCCACAACGCAAGCAGCTGTCCTCAGGTGGAGAGCAGGTCTGTCGACGGCTGCTTGCGTTGTGGCCGAAACGTCGTGAGAATTATTTTATTATGTTTAATTTTTATTATTTTATTATTTCCATTCTACGTGACTTTACCGAAAGAACCAAGAAGATGCCACTGTTGCTAGTTCCATGCACAGCCAATTCAAACCATGCTTATTTGCACATCATCAAAGTCGCACGTACCAGCTATTGACACATCGCATTGCACTGACCACTGGTCTCAAGATCTCGATCACTCTGCCAGCTGCGCTTGTGTTGTTGCTGGAGGAGTCTTGTCAAATGTGTGTGCACACGTGGAGGCGGTTAGCATTCACAACAGTAAATGCCGGTCGAAAGTGGGAGAGAGAACCAAGACAAGGGAGACCTATGAGCTTATGTCACATGGTAGATCTTCGCCCACGGCCCTTATCCCTGGATAAAATACCTTATGGTAGAACGTCTCCCACTATGATAAAGCTTCTGCGTCCTGGTAGATTCACTTACTATTGTCTCCTATCCTCTGTATGGGAGGACATCTATCCCAACCCGAATATCCTCTCTTTTTCATTGCACGCTATAAAAACTACAGCGAAGTTCATGCGATTACAGATAAACATCTTGATTTGCTTCAACCAAGTGACTTTTATTTCCTAACACGCACATTTATTTTACAACCTATACCCTATAAAATAATAAGATTAATTAATTTAGGTTATAAAACACTTTCATGACAATATCATCTAAAATCACTCGACGATCACAGTTGTATTTTTCGATTTAAAGCTTTCGTGACTGCAGGGATTCATCTTCCTGGTTCTTTTGGTAAAGTCACGTAGAAGGGAAATAATAAATTAATAAAAATAAAACATAATAAAATAATTCTCACATCGTGAGAATTATTTTATTATGTTTTATTTTTATTTAGTTGTGATAAATGGAAAGACCTGGTAGGGTGGAAGATCTGCAATGGCCAGAAGAGATGACATGGAAGCGTATCCAGGTGGAAAGATCTACCATATGGTAGTTTGTGCAGGCGGATGAGGTGCCATGCAGAAGATGTGCCGTGGGGCACAGATTCGAGGGCACACTTCCAGCTGGATGGAGATCGACAGTGAAGACAACCACTGTTGCTTACGTGCCACCGCATCTTATGTGTGCAGCTCTACTATCACGGCATCTTAAAGAGTGTGCTTTAAACCCACTGCACTTATAAAGATACATGATGATAGCCAGGCGATGCATAAAACTCTAGGCAGGCACTTGACATTCATCAAGTAGAAGCATTTAGGTCCTGGGCAGGTCCTAATGGTCTTCCATGGAATTCGTTGTGATGCACAGTAGTGATAACTGAAGATACCAAATGAAATGTATACACTTATTTTTAAATCTGTAAAACATCGAAGACTTTGATCAGAGTTTGGAGAAGCTTGTGCGACTGTATGAATCTTAGTAGCTAATGCACATTTCAGGATGGAGCAGATGGTTTCCACACTGCACTCTGCACCTGGTGGCCTGAGTTTGATCGCCGGCCACAGCTAACGTGAGTGGAAAGTGATATGTTACACGGTCCTGAGCTTGCCAAAAAATGTTCGCCAACCTTACCTAACCAAATGGGACATTTTTTTCCAGTATCAAAGTATGAAAAATATATAAGAACAGGTTTGACCCTGTCCGACAATTAAACAGGTGTTAAGATGTCCAAACACCAAATAGAAACCTTTTGCAAAGAAGCAAGTCTGCATTAACCACACGTAAGTGTGGTGAACATGCAAACAAACATGCTCTGATAATTATATATGCATTGTCTTTGAAACTGATTGGCCTACATCACAGACAACCTTTTTTAAAGCCTAGTTTCACCAGTGTCAGACCAGAGAACGCCAAAAGGCGAACAGTATAAAGACATTGCACTATCAGAGCATTTTTAGCTCGGGGTCAGTAGCTACAAAATGGGACCTTTTTACCAGTATCAAAGTATGAAAAAATTCTGGCAATAAAACAGGTGTTAAGATGTTCAAACACCAAATAGAAACCTTTTGCAAGGAATCAAGTCTGCATTAACCACATGTACTTGTGGTGAACATTCAGAAGTGGATACGCAAAATTATGTATAATATTTATTTTAATGCACATTTTCAAAAACTTTGTTCATTAGTTCCCTACAGCCTTCATTCGATTTTTAACGAAGGAAAACATCTATCTGAGCTTTCACGTAGAAATATGTGATAATCTCACAGTTCAATGTGTGCATGTGAGCTGGGACATTTTCCAGAACTCAGCCCCGGACAACTCCGGAATTAAAACCCTCCGTGCGACCCGCACATGTACACACGTAGATGAGTCTTCGTACTACCCTGTAGTAATGACAGCCTGATAATATCTGTGTGAACAGACAACCAACCCAATCACACATCGGGTTTTTTTTTCAATATTGCAAATGCAGTTGTGAAACACAACCCCGAAAGCAGAGGTTGTGGAAGCACCGAGCAAGTTAACCTGCGATTAATTTGCTGTCCGCTAATAAGACGTCGCTATAACATGACCCAACCCCAAGCCTACTGACCCTGCCCGTCCGTTTAAATCAGATGGCCTGACGAAAACACCTGCGCGTGGTTTCATGCATCCCCATTCTACTGCGCCAACGGCTAAAATCACCCGGGATCAGGTGTCCGATCTCATCAGATTTCATAAGTCTAAGCAGGTTTGAGCTTGGATAGTGCTCGGATGGGTGACCAATAACATGGTACCAAAGGGCAGATGGAGTAGGCGGTGTGATCAGAAGAGGGCACTGCAGCAAATCAATTGTTCTGACCCCCCCCCCACCCTTCCTTCACCAACCTGCATCGATCATTGTGGGGAAGTATGGCCAGATAGTTATCATTGTCGATACGTTGTAGGGGGGGGGCCCACGTCCAGCAGGGGATGGACAAAACTGGCTGTACTTGTATATTGTGCCGCAAGGCCGTAATTATAATATATATTGGGAGGGACACCCCCCCCCCCAATATTCAAATATACTCAAAATGCCCCCCCCCCCCCCAATATATTGCTCTAAAAATATTTTAAAATAATAATTGTTATGCTATGTAAATAAAAACAACAATTTGCTTAACCTTGGCCACAATATCTGGACTTGTCTTCATATAACAATGCATAGATTTATGTTTATATTATTGTGGTTATGGTTGTACTTTATTAATCCCGATCTCTGCCATTACATATGAAGTACCGGTGAGGACGCTTGACACCGAGGTTGAGGCACACGTGTATTTATTTTACAAGTCGTCACGACAGGACAGCACTAGAGGGGGTATCGGCCCCCTCACCCGTATAACTGGGGATATACCGCTAGCTATCCCTGACCTACCCCCGAGTCCTCCACTAACGGGCTAGGGGAGGCTATCTGGCCCGACACTGGTGAGTCGGGCTACGGTACCCGGAGTCCCAGAGTGCTGACTCTGGTTCACGGGACCACGCCGCTGGCTCGGTCCTGCGCGGCCCTGACAAGGGCGGCGTCTCAGGGGAGTCCAGGGCTCTAGCTACCCGGGTCTTCAATCTTCCCTCCTTCGTTCTAATACTGCCCCGAGCTCTCTCTGTCATCCCCTTTTATACCCCCTCCAGGATCACAACCCCGGGCAGCCCCCAGGCTGCCCGATGCGGACGTCGTTGCGGGCACCCCCCCCCCCCGTTTACTCCCGGAGCTCCGCCCACTGTGTTTGTTCGCCGTTTGATCCTATGTACAAACAGCCCCTCCATAACAGCCCTACACATTCAATGAAACAAGAAAAGGTAAGAAAGAAAGAAACAGATTAATGTAATACAATACACTATTAGACATTATTGTAAAAAAATAAATAAAAAGTCCATCCCAGGAAATAGCAGGAAATACATTTTCAAATTTAGATTTTTTTTTCTGGGGGGAGACCCCCAGACCCCCTGGAAGATTTCGTCCCCGTCCCCCCAATGTTGGTTCCATGGCTACGGCCTTGTTGTGCCGTATTCACCGCATTTATAAGACGATCCTGATAGGAATACGCCAACCCATTAAGGTGCGGCCGTCGATCAGTAACGTTACACAAATCTGGTCAGGCAGCAGATCTGCCGGGATTATTCGACGCAACCCTTGAACATTGACTTGGAAAATAAATGCAAAAGAACGGGGAGAGTTTAACACGTAGGCTTTCGCGACCAACATCATCCACAATACAGGGTTTATTTGAGTGTTAGATCGCGTGAGTATTTAAATGTGTCGTTAAAACCACAGCGTTGACAATCTGAGCACGACGTCTCGCCAGAAATTACAACCGGCGTCATCAGGCGCTCAGCCACATTTGTGCATTATATTATTATATTATTATTAGATTATTATATTATCATTATATTATTATATTATCATTAGATTATTATATTTTCATTATATTATTATATTATCATTATATTATTATTTTTTCATTATATTATTATATTATCATTAGATTCTTATCATTATAGTATTATTATATTATTAGATTATTATATTATCATTAGATTATAATTTTTTCATTAGATCATTATATTATCATTAGATTATTATATTTTCATGAGATTATTATAATATCATTAGATTATTACATTTTCATTAGATCATTATATTATCATTATATTCTTATATTTTCATGAGATTATTATATTTTCATTAGATTATTATATTATCATTAGATCATTATATTATCATTAGATTATTATATTTTCATTATACAGTATTATTATATTATCAAGGGGAAGGGATTGCGCTCGACATTCCTTGATAGCCGATTACCAAACAAAAAACTCACCTTGATCACGTGACACGGCCCTCGACCAATCACTGGCCGAGGATTCCCCCCCCCACCTCCCAGCGTATCGTAACGTCTCAAGCGCTTGGCAAACCGTGGTGAGTGTTTATATTTTAAACAACAATAATCGCACGAATGTTTTCACCTAATGTCGCACGTTAAAAAAGTTGTACACAAATAAGCTGCGGTGTTTGTGTAACGAAACTTTTAGTTTATTTGTAAATTGAGCGTCTGATTTGGTTTTGGTACAATTGATACGTATGGGCCGAGGGGGTTGGGGTGTCGCGTATCCGTTGTACGGAATGTAAAAGGAGTAAATGTTCCAATTTAAACCACTTCGTATTGTATTGGAGGCTTAAACGATGATAACATTTTGTTGTAAGTTAAACAAAACGTGAACTTGAGCACCCAAATACAAAGAGATGCGTGCACAAACGCACACGATAGAATATGATAACGTTTTCCATATAAAAACCAATATAAACTCCATTAGTTTGAGGTTAACGATTCTGTGTACTTATACATGTGTATGAAGACCTCCCCATGCCGAGATCTGGCAAGATCCTGGCAAATAATCCACTACAATATTTCCATCAAATATACTAGTTAGAGGTTGAAGGTGCGAGTTTGAGCGGAGTGATGTTATAGCTTTTTCATGATAAATTTAAATATTTCCAATGCCATTGGAATATCGATGTACCACAACTGCCTCAGGAGAGTAGAATCATCTATAATTGGACTGGAGGAATCCGATGAGCTACGAGGCTATTTCACTCGTATCCAGTGTTTCACAGATGTCCTCAGTAGCGTCGCAATGGGGCACTTCGACATTTTCACGAGATCCTGCCATAGAAACGTGTTTTTGTCCTCATGGCTGAGGTCCAGCAATAAGGAACTATCACTCTCCCATAGCTCTTTTGCATGGGCACACCAGCTTTATAGAAATTCTATACCATTGTACTGTACTGTACCGTCATGCCCATTTTGCCATTGAAGGTATTTTGCCGAATGGTTACCACAAATAGCTTTTATTTTATACATTTCACTGTTTTAATTTTTATTGCAAAATGCATTTGCAGTATTGACCTGAGAAGTCGAAATTCTGAATTGCCCACAGAGACCAATTGCACATCAAATATGGGGCTTATTTGGCATCTTGAGAATCATAAGTCAATATTGATAATTGGATTCCAAATGTAAAAACATTTGTTTTATGTATACTTGGTTCTTTCGGTAAAGTCACGTAGAAGGGAATTAATAAAATAATATAAATATAAAACAATAAAAAATTCTCACGACGTTTCGACTGCAACACAAGCAATCATCATCAGGAGAATTTGTATTGTTTTATATTGTTTTCATTTCATTATTTCCCTTCTACGTGACTTTACCGAAAGAACCATGAATATGAATCCCTGCAGTCACGAAAGCTTTCAATCAAAACTTGTTTTATGCTCTAAATAAAGTTGCCTCTGATTTAGTGTAGTGGAAGAGTTATAAAAACATTGTAGTATTGAACCTTTTCAAACTTTCATACATCATGGTCAGAAAATAATAGCAATTGAGACATTGGTAATCATCCATGAAAGTTTTAATAAAGGTCATAGCTGCACTTTGAAACATTTCAGTAGCAGTTACTCATAATTAACATTTGGCTTATCTATAGTTTCAGCACGGAATATGTATGAAGACATTTAATGAACACTCAGATTAGACACACACCTGCCACTATCGAGGGATACTTGTACAAAGATTTATGTTGCACTGACATTTCTATTAGGTTTTTTTCTAAATTACATTTTCGTCTCGTGTTGGTACAATTTTGTTACGTGACTTGTGTGGAAGAAAAGCCAATACGACTTAATATACTTCACAAAATTAATGTACACCATAAAATAACAATCATGCTGGGCTTGTTTTGTTTTGGTGAAATTAACATTGTGTTAATAATGAAAAGTTTAATATGTCACCAAGAGCACTAGACTGGCTCGAAGATTGTATACTTTAATGTTTAATGGGGCAATACAGCGTGGGCACGCTACCCAAACAGACTTTTAAAAAAGTGACGTGCCGCATCCAACTCACCCCACAGGCTGTACTTTGTCCTCTCCAGTTAACAATGATGAGGAACCTTAATGATGGTGTATGAAGGAATAGCAACATTTGATTGTATAATGTTGAGTTTTAGTATCCAGTTGAGCTTCAGGAGACACGAAGATATTACCATGGAGTGATTGTAATGGACAGTTGCATACGATATGTTCCATCACTTGAAGTTGTTTACCACATTCGTACTGTGGAGTAAGGGACCGTAATGTGCGATTTTTTATGAAATTTACACATTGTAACTTGAGTGCAGAAACCGATAGCATCTCCAAATTCCATTTCAATCTTGCAATTTGGATACGATTTGCCTGCTCCCATGCCTCAGTAGGCAGAGAACCCAATCAATCAGATGCTATCTGTGTTGTCGTTGCAGAATGCTTGACAATCCTAGACTGGGGCCGCAAAATGGATCATACAAGCTCACTTGTGTCTGCATGGACCGCAATGGAACAACCCCATACTTGCCCAAGAGAGTCTCCTCATGGGGCTCATAAAGTTAAAGTATCTCAGGTCAGACCTTCTTTGCCTTTTTTTCTGTCCAAAATTCCTGGCATATGTTGGAGTCAAAGGTCAGGTGTTAGTCCTCCCAATTACTTTCCTTTCCTGCACACAAACAAGGCTGGTATCTGGCAACTGTCACAGGATGCAATTCATTATTAATCAAGGCCATATAATTTGGTGATTTCCCATGTTGCAATATGTGCATTTTTTTTACAGCAGCATCCATTTATTATATTGTCTATTTCATATAAAAGTTATATTTATTCACAGTTATCCAAAGTTTGTGTGGGAAATCACTAGGTATACTGATAAAAATGTATCATTCCTTGTATTTTACAACAATTATTTTATCCCCAAAATATTCCCTGCCCTATATTTTATAACCTCGGTATTTTTTTGTGCTTTCTTTAACCAATGTGAATGCCTTAACTACCCGGGAAGGTTGAGGGTGAACAGACCAGTGATAGGCTTGTGAACAACGGAGACCTGAGCTGTGCCCTTCGGGACCCCGAGCAGAGTCTGTTCAATTCCGTCCGTCAGCTGCACTTCAAGACCAGCCTGCTGGAGATGGTTGAGGAGCTGAGAATGCGGAGGGTGAGTTGGGCCGGCTCTGCGCTACGCGTCGCTGCACCGGGAGGTTACATTGGGTTCACGAACGGCAGACTTTTCTCAGGTCGTAATAAATGAACCAGCTGTGGTTTTTTATGCCCTATGGGCAGAGGCTAGAGTAGATTAGTGCTCTACGCAATAGGGGTGGTGGCCGTGAAGTCTTCTCATGTTTTTTACGTGACACGCGCTTTATCTTGCGCAAGGTGCAGGTTACAGATCTGCAGCTGCAGCCCAGAGGTGGTCCAAAAAATATGTTATTAACATTGTTATCGTGGGCCAGGGCAGCTGGCCATTACGGGCACTGGTACGGCGTGGGTTTGGGTTTTTGGGGCCGCTGTGCTCCGCTGAATTGGTGATAACTTGACAGCTCGCTTGTAGCAGCGCTTGGTATTTATCATGTGCACAGTGATGTGTCACACTTCAAATAAAGTAGAATGTGCATCTCATTCCATTCTGCATCTGTGTGGTTATCAATTTTGTGAACACCGGCTTGGCATTCACCTCTTGCGATTGTTAACGTCAAGATGGGTTATTTTGTAAAACCTTTCTTCTAGACCTTTTTCATTGGCAAAAATGTTGGCCTTATATCTTTGGTATTTTGTTTCTTCATATGTGCAAAATCAGTGTTTTTAGCAATATGCTTCAGTACTATGTTTCCATATTTTTTCATATTTTATTTTAAATAAATCACCGTATACTGATATCGTAGATTATGATATATACAGAATGGAACTTTAGATCCATGGTTACATGAATGTAATTTATCAAATAGGTAATGTTTTTTCTGGACCAACTAGTTATTTTAATAACTATCAGTCCAGTTTTTCTTTTTTTCAGCATATGCACAACTCATGTCATAAGTCATCGTCACATAAATGCAGAAGTTTTTGCTTTAGCAGGTTATCGAAAGTACTTGTTTTATTGCACATACATTGATATGTGCTTTTAAACAACATCTACAAATAGCCAAAGCAGTAATCCCCCATTTGTCAGCTTTATACGGCGTTTTATTGAGATGCGCTTCCCAGGACAGCTTTATTGCCACCATACATTACGTTGCAACACAGGAGGTTCCATATATGAGCACACGGGATGGACATTTGCTGCTTGATGCTGCACGAATATTGCTGTTAATCCATCCATAAAGCGTGGAGGAAACACTAAATATTTTGTCACCCTTGATATTATAAAACTTTTTATTGCTCTAAGTATGGTGATGTGCCGGAGCCCTTTTTGCTTTGGCTGAATAAAAGACCCATTCACTTGATGTATGCTCAGTGCATCTCAAATTGTGCAGCACAAAGAAAATGATGACCTATATTATCACGAGGAAGCATATTTTAATTGCTTGGTGTCATAACAGGTCACTTGCATCATTCATATATCTGGAGTCACTTGATGTATACGCCATGGGTCTCTGGCTACATGGAATATTATTTGAGCTATTAATGGTTTATCTACTGTGTAATTTTTCCTCCGTATGCCATGATCTCTGTTTCTCATTTCCCTTGATGGCCTGCAAAATGACAAAGGTTTCTAAATTTAATTTTCATGGTTGCAATAATTAACGTTCATAGGTCTTGTAAGTGTAACAGACATGTATTGTGTATATCATGAGTTGTGAACTTGGTACTTTTATAGGAGTTAAAATGAATGCACTTCAGGACTAATTTAATTTTTAAAAATTCTGCTGAAGATAATACTTTTGTGTGTGTGTCCCCCAAGGAATCCGAGCATCACTTTGAGGAGAAATTCAATCAAATGATTACAGAGAAGCAAGAATTAGAGTGGCAAAAGGTACACCAAGACGTTTGTGTCATTAACAAAACATCTTATAGACTCACGAGTAAGCTGGTACAATGTTCTCAGATTAATACCTGCCGATTGTAAACTAGGGGTGGGGAACCTTTCTTAACTGAGGGCCAATGGAACCTCATTTGCCAGTAAAAAATATGATAATTGTTTTTCACCCTTATATCTGGCAACAAAACTAACACTTATTTTTTACTGGCAAATGAGGTTCCAATGGTGTAAATGCTTACTCCGAGCTTTCATACTCTGATGGTGCATTGTCTTTGAGTTGTGCGCCTTTTGGCGTCATCTGGTCCAACCCATGTGAGACTAGGCTCTAAAGAAAGCTGTCTCGGGTGTGGACCAATCAACTTCAAAGACCATGCATATATTATCAGAGTTGTGTTTTTTGTTTGCATTATGACTGCAGGTATTGTGGTCTATGCAAACATGACTCCTTGTAAAAAAAGGTGTCAGTTTTGTTGCCAGATAGAAGGGTAAAAAACCAATTATCAACTGAGGGCCAATTAAGAATTTAAAATACCTTTGGCACGCCACACATTGGCACACAGCTCATCTGCTTCTGTCACTAAAATAGGCTTTTGCAGTGAGATAAGTCACCAAGTTTACTAAAATTACAAACAATGTTGTCAGGTACAAAATAAATACCCCTCTAGTTTCTGATAAGTGCAGCTAAGATGCTTCAAGTGATGGATACATATTTGTTGCAGCCTGTTTATAAGTAGTTGGCCTTGAGATCAGGGGACGTATTAATTTAAGTTTTGGAGCAGCCATGGCCCACATGCCATGCAATCCCAACCCCTGTTGTAAACTAGAGTATAACTATGGTGCATTAGGTGCAATGTAGCATCACTTAAGCTTACACGTGACAAAATATGGCAAACACGAATTAATTGACCAAACATCCCGATGCAGAATCTGTAAAAGAGTCTTGAGACTCAGTGAGGAGCTTATGGGTTAATAATGGGCATCATCATATGCAGTGAAACATCTTTCAAATTAAATTGCTCTTGCATTGTGCTTAACACAAGGTCTAAAATTAATCCTGAATGAATGTGATATTTTCATCTGTGTGCAGTTAGCACGTTAACTCATTTTGTCGATAAATTGGAGCGTTAGTGTCTTTCTAGACGTGCAGGAATTCTCGCTGACTTGAAGGGCTTGACTTTGAAAAAGTCAAGCTGATAAATGTCTTTGCCTTATAAAGGGTCTGGACTTTGTGGTGTGAAATTATCTATTAGCATTGATGGACAATAAAAAAGCAGTTAACAGCATTAATTACTGACCATAGATAACAATAACCTTTTACTTTAATTGCTCCGTGAAATTTTTATTTATGACAATAATCCATGTTTCTGAAATGTACCATGTGAAACATTTGAGAAATGATCAATAAGGTTAATTAAGTTTCATTAATATAATAGCTGGACTTGACCTGCAATCCTAACTACGTTTCATATAAATCCCAAAGGTATGTAGATTTTTTGTAATATTCTGTGTTTTAAAGCCCTTGTTTTTTGATAGAGATATTTCCAATGATATTGAACATGATGTTTATTCGGAGGCATTTTCAGGAAATATTTTTTTTATGAAGAGGGATTATATTTGGACAATAAGTGCATTTGATGATATGTATGTTCTGTATACTGTATACATTTTATGAAGTTGTCAGTCATTGCACATTTTAAGTTAAAACTATGAATTACCAGCTCCTCAATTTCTGTTAAACATATTGTAGACACCTCCCAGAGTAGCACCACAGTACATCACTGGAATTTGTATTTTATTTCAAATAATTTCATATTTAATTTGAACTTAAATTTGTGTTTGATAAAAACATGAACGTATGTGTGGCCCTTGATTATCAGATTGTTACTTAATGAATGTTATTATTTTCTTGAGTTGTGCATTATTTGTTTTAAACTTTTGGAATTTTCACATTCGGATTAAATAGCAAAATCATATTACTGCACAGCCTATACTTGTGCAGTGGAAACACTGCATGCTTCATATATAAAGATTTATGATCAGGTATGTGTAGTTTGTATAATTGTTTAGCCTGATATATGCATGTGAAATTGCATGTAACTTGTGTTAATTAACAACACATAACCAACACTTTAATTATTATTTCTTATTATTTAACCAAGCAATGATTTGTATACTTGATATCAATTACACAAACCAATTTAGTATGTTTTTGCACTTTTTCAGGAGACACTGGCCAGTAAACGTGAAAGTTTGTTGACAGAGCATTTGGAGGAAATCTCAAAAATAAACAAGCAGGTTTGCAAGTGGCGATTGGGTGCTTGGTTTCCCACACGTCCCCCCCCCCAACACCCCTACCCCCAGTGACCCGCAATGTGTCAATGTCTTCCGTGCTTCATTAATTTGAGATGATCATGTAGCACCCTTGGTGCCCACAGCCTGTAATGACATATTGGAGGTGTCGTCAGTGTGAAGCATGTTTTCTTTTTCTCTTTTTCATCAGTTTAAATCAAAGCTCGAGAGCCTGGAGGCAGAGAAGGTATTGTGAAAATGCATGGGTTGTATTCATGGCAATGGGGACCATACATGATAAACATGGGAAGTGTGCGCTGGGTCTGTATTCTCCCTTGCCACCATAGCATTTCATTGTCACGGAACCTGTAATGTTCTCCGTGAAGCCCCGATCATTTTAGACAGACACGGAAATACTCTCTTAGTACCCCTCATGAGTAATGCATTCAGAATGCGCCATTCAATCTACTGCATTTACGCAACCTATTAATGCACCCGGACAGAAAAGTATTACTCATTTGATGAGGTCCCTCTTGCTGTGTAAACATATAGGTAAATAAATAGCAATCCGTAATGACTTAAAAAGAGTCGGTCACTTAACTAGGTCCAAATGAGACAAATTTGAGCCCCTTTTCCAATAACGTTTTACAGTGAAAATATATTTTCTGTTGATGTAATATTTTTATTAAATCCACAGAACAAATTTCAGTTCTTGTCTGAAGCTGCAGAGAGAGAGGTCAACATCCTGAAAGATAAAATTAAGGCACAAAATGTAAGCTTATTTGAAAAATTTACACAACATTTATTTATATTAAAACACAACTGTCATTTCAATCCTAATTTATACAGAATATAAACATAATTTTAGCTTTAAAAAATAGACGTGCATCTATTATATATCAAATTTTGTCACTAAACAAATTAAACAAATTCAACTCTTTTAATTGTTACAGTTATCTGTGCATTCTTTGGAAAAGAGGCTTGCTGACCAGGTATGTTGTATTTTTGTTTTAAGTACCTCAATGATTATCGTGAAAATATAGTTAATTTAGGTAATGTATACACGAGTCAAGAAAATAATAACGTTTAATAAAATGCACATATACAAATTTTACTTTGCATCACGATAAATTGTAGAATATCAAGTAAAAATAAAACAAATTGCTAAACAAAATGAAGACACTGGGAAAGCAGTCACGTAAAGCACATTAAACACACGAGTATTTAGCAATTTACTATACAAGCCACTATTTACTGTTTAATCAAGTAAGAATTAATTATGACTCATTGTCTTTCCAAAGGAGCACGAGTAATTAGTGACATAGGATCACCAATTATTGTATCTTCTAATGATGTAGCTGCAGGTACTACAACATCTCGACGGCAACATACTCTGATTAAACGGGAAACAAAATTGAACAAAGAACATGGAACAAAATCTGAAAAGTGCCCACAGAAACATGGGGAAATGCACACTGGTTGAGACATAGGGACATAATTGAGAGATCATATTGACTATGAATAAAATAAGGAAGATCGACATGTAAGGGATGATGGCCGGTTGTCAAGACTAAGGAGTCGCAGGATAGAACAAGCCAAAGGCAATCCACAGTGGATTGTAGGAGCTGCTAGGGATGATGATGATGGCTTGGGGAGGCCCTCATCCAACAGTGAATGGATAATGGATGAAGATGATGACTAACCTCTCCATTAGGAGTTAGACCATTGGTATTGCAGGATATATTTTGTATCAGGGGAAATTGTAACATTGTTAGACAGCGAAAGGTCAGTGCTTACATGAATGTTTTCCGTTTTATCTCGTATTTTCAAATCCTATTTAGGATCAAAAGCTTCAACTTCATATGCTTGGCAGAGAAAGGGTGGTCAGTCAGTTATCAGAGGTTGTAAACTTACATTCCAGCATCAGCAAACAGTGTGAGACCTACAGACAAACACAGGATATGCTGGAAAGGAATGGTGAGATTCAGCACCATTCTTTTCAATACCAAGATCACATTTTACAATAATTTTCTTTTGTGTATCTTCTCTGTAAAACTTTAGCCTTTTATATATATATTTGTAAACATTATAAACATATTCTGGATAATAAGACGCTATTCCTCCCTGTATTTTTTAAGCAAAACTTGGTGTATATTAAAATCTGGTAGGTGTATATTAAAATCTGGTAGGTGTGTATATGTGTGACCATAACTTTTGGATACATTTGTCGATAGTGAGTACAATTTTGGGGTGCGTCTTACTTTCTGGAGCGTCTTACTTTCCGGGGCATTACATAATCTACAGAATATGGTATTTGTGAAATGATTGTATTTGTTTGGCGTGCACAGTCCAAGAGTCCTTGAAATTAAACAAAAAACTGCTGTACACCAACAAGCATCAAGGATGCATAGAGGAGGGGCTCAAGCAGGTAAGCGTATAGTTGGCTGTGAGTTTCCTGAACATTCTAGATTTGATACAGCTATCGTCCTGTGACTGTTCCACCTGAAGACGGAAGCTTGTGTTGCCTCCGAAACATCGTGATTTTTATTTTATTTTTATTTTACTTTTATTAATTTTTTACCTACGTGACTTTACCGAAAAAACCTAAGAATATGTTTCCTAAACATCCCCGGTGCCAGTTTGTCTATTTCCGTTCCCGTAACATAAAGTGTGATGGACAAGCTCACAAAACAACAACAACGTATGTAACATAAGTACTCCCCTTGCAATCTCAGAGGCTGCATTGTGTGGGGGTGAGCTGTACTACATGGGTAAGGGTGTAATAGGCATATCTTTGTCTTAGCCCGCGGTGACAAACACTTGCAGAGCGCTGTTCGTCAGCCCCACCTGACTGCGTCTCGTCAACTGCTCTGCTGACCTTCTGTCAGCTCCCCTGCAAAGATTTTAAATCGTTTTTTTCCCCCCATCTCTGTCTTTCTATTTTTCGAGATTGCGTGCCCTCTCGGGGTGTTATTTTGATTCTTCTTGTGTGCCGCGAGGGATTGCTAACGTTTGAACGACGGCCCATGCGCAGGGCGTAACCATGCATGAAAAGCCCCATTAATCAAATGTAATTGAAAATCGGTAAAGTGGTGGAGATTTAAGTATTCTTTACTTGATTGTCTTTGTCATGCATCAGTACAAGCATGGTATTTTTAATGCATTTTCTTTAAAACAGTTTTGAATGTAATATGTCCTCTATCATTAATAACTGTCGTTGTACAATGTTTCCTTCTTTCTGGTTAAATATACGAACCAACATAAATGTGTCAACACACAGTAGTCTTAATATCCACTTCAAAGCCGATTGTAAGCTTTAATAAGTTCCGACAATAATTGCACCACAGTGCCTGTGTAACTGGTTCAATGGCAAGCACACTGACAATGACGACCTGGTCACTTCCAATGTAACAGTAATCGAGTATGTAGCCAAGGCATGGTGTAAAGAACATGATCTTGTTAAATATGTCATTTTGATTGGTAAGGAAAATAATTGGGCTAGTGCAAAAGACATTTCTCAAAGGGATAATGGCCAGTGATCGAGACTAACAATGGAGTGTCAGCCAAATGAGGGACATCTTATGAGAGGCAAGCCGCCGTGGAGATGGAGTGATGACATCAGGCCGTGTACAGGTATCAGGTGGATAATTGACTCATAGGATGATGAGAAGACGGTGACAGCTTGGGTAGGCCTTCATCCAGCAGTGGATTGACCGTGGCTGATGATGATGATGAATCATTGGTTTCTATGTTCAGAAACTGCAACAGGTATCTGCGGAATTGCTGCAGTTAAAGATTGACATTCGGACGAAGATGGAGGAGAAAAAGCGGGAGGTGATTCAAAGGCACCACAAACTGGAAGAGGCACAGCTTCAGATACAGAAGGTTCGACACACGTCAGTTTTTATCTTACTCTAAACTACGTGGTATGTTTCTATTTCAAGCTTTCGTGACTGCAGGGATTCGTCTTCTTGGTTCTTTCGGTAAAGTCACGTAGAAGGGAAATAAAAAAAAATAAAGAAATAAAAACATAATAAAATAAAGATTTTCTTTTATAACATAAAAAAAATTTAAACATAATAAAAAAATTACAAAATATTTTATAATAAAATAAAATAAAAAAATGTATTCTGTTTTATTGTTATTATTCTATTATTTCCCTTCTACGTGACTTTACTGAAAGAACCAAGAAGATGTGTTAAGTTTTGGGTACATTATGCTTTCTATTTCGTTCATTTATTTTGCTTTAAACCTGTAGAATGCGTGTGTGCCCTGATTCTGTACCGACGCAGATCTCTTGACTCTTCATCTCAATGGGCTCTCACCTGGTTTTAAATTAAGGTCTACTACTTTGTCTTTAACATATCGTCAGCAATTATATTTTCCAATAAATTGGGTTTATGAGGGATTGTTAATACCGTACATTTCACGTGCAAACAGAACAATTGATTTTAAGTACTGTAAAATATACTTTTTCATGATCTTTCTAATGTATGTGTCTGCTTTTTATTAAAGGAGATGGATCTAGGGAAACTTTTATCACAAACGATAACAGCATTACGACAGGAAAAACAGGTAATTAACATAATGATTTGCAATTAAATCTCAGCATTGCATTTATATTGTACGCCAATGTCTTCACTAGATGCTGATGAGGCGCATTTCATAATGGCATGTTTAAAACAGTGCTTTAATGAGTATTCTTTCCAGTTGAGAATGCCTGTCCTATGGCTATCCTGGTCATCATCACAGCAACTTGGAATTTCTACTACTGACTCAGCACTTACACCATTGGGACCTCATTTGCCAGTAGAAAAATATGATAATTATTTTTTTACCCTTTTATCTGGCAACAAAACTGACACCTTTTGGCGTCACCTTCTGGCGTCATCTGGTCCAACACCATGTGAGACTAGGCTTGAAGGAAAGCTGTCTCGGGCGTGGACCAATCAACTTCAAGAACAGTGCATACATTATCAGAGTTATGTTTTTTGTTTGCATTCCGACCGCAGGTATTGTGGTCTATGCAAACATGACTCCTTGTAAAAAAGGTGTCAGTTTTGTTGCCAGATAAAAGGGTAAAAAAACAATTATCATGGCTCAGCACTGTTGACAAAGATGAGCATCACCCCATGCTATTGAGAGCATGTGGACACCCGCTTGGCCACTTGACTTGGAACTGATCTAAACTCGTGTATCTTTAATAGGAAACGAACAAAGCACTTGAAGAATCACAAAGGCTCGTTGAGCGACAAAGTGTGCATGTGAACAGGACTAAAGAAGACAATGTTGCACTTTTACAAGAAAACCAGGTAGCAAATGGCTTGTAAACACAACAAAAGCTATTCCGTACTAATATACTCATTTGCTTGATTTCATTTCAGTGCAATAAACATAATATCTGTAGATTAATTGATCGCATATTGTAATATTACACGCGTAACTCTTTTGCAGTGAAATATTGTTATTAAAATGCTGTACTGTTTTTTTCCGGAAAGCCACGGTGAGTCAAAATATTGGAACAAGTCCTGTATTGGGATGATTGGCCAGTTTCCTTTTAGAGGAGTGTTTTAAATCTACTAGGTGAGGTGACTAGGAGCTGACATTGAACCTGTCTATGGAAATGTTGCTATTATAGCTTGCTTTATTGGGATTTCTCTAGCTACACTGTATTTCTCCACAAACATGACACTCATTAAACGTAATTGGGTAAATATTCTAATGCAAAACCCTCCTCAAAACAAACCTCGACATTTGAGGATTTCCTTGATCAAATAAATTGTTAATACCATTAAATGACTGCTCAATAAGTATTTTATTGAATGTTGTCAGGCTTTAAAGGGTGACAACGAAAAACTAAACGGACACATGATGGAGAAAGATGAAAATTGCAAGAGTATAAAAGGACGCTTTGAAAACACAAAAATCACCCTTGAAGAAGAGGTAACTGCTTGTAATCTATATGGCATATATCGGCTCAAACGCATCGATGTGTTTAACCAGTTTAGCGCATGGCGAGCAGATATCGCGTAGGAATACCTCGAGACGCGTTGGGTACTTGAGAAGTGGCGCATTGGTTAGTGTGACGTGCTTTTTTTTTACCAAGTAAGGTCCACTGAGCTATATAGCTCTTTTACAGAAGCAACCTAGCCCAAAATCATAACTCAACGAAGTGGATTATCACGTGGAAATTTATCGTAGCCAAATACTCTTAAACACATGTTTGTAATGTGGAGGGGAAAACCAGAGGACCCGGAGAAAAATCCACATTACCGAAGGGAGAACATGCAAACTCCAAATATACAGGTGTCAGGGTTTGGATCAAACACACGACCTCCTGCATACCAGGCGAGGTAGTTAACATCTGTGCACCGCGGCGCCCTGTGAACCCACCAGCCATGGAATCTGAAACGGTTCTTTGTACCCCCTTCACCAACCTGCACTGACTAGTGTCATAAAGTATGGTGAAACAATCCCTCTTGACAAACAGGTTTTGGGGAGACCTTTATTACTGGATCGAGAAAGGGGGCTATATACGAGTTGACTGGAACTTCACGTATGACTCAAGTTTGCGTCATTGTTTACAGAATAGGAAACAGCAACTCAAGCTTGAGTCATTGCAATTGAAGTATGATAGTCTGCAATGCAGCTTTCAGGAAATAGAGGAGAGTAACTGTAAGTTCAAATCACAAGTAAGAGAGCAGGAAGGAAAGATTCAAGGCCTGCAGGTACGTCCCCTTATCATTCACATTTTATTGGAATTGGGAAAGTAATTTTCATATTTATATGGATGAGCTGGACTGGTGTTGCTCAATCCGTGATCCAGATCTCACAATGCAGGTTTGGATGGGATGTGTAACTGAATTGTGTCACTTTTGGCTGTACTGTGAAATGAGAGCTGTATTTTTCGGTTACCTGTTATGACTGCACCTGTAATATGAGGAATTTGTAAAGTTAGACTGGTTGGTTATCCCTGCTGTCCCACAGCAGTCAGTTAAAATAGTTGCAGATGTATTGGTGTAACCACATATAACTTTTCCATCTTTGCACACACATTTTCAATACTGCAGTAAGCAAATTAGCCCGTGGAGGCATGTCCTTTTAAAAATAACTGCGAGCATTTATAAAGCACTAATGTTAAATATCCACAAATCCTGTGAAAAGTTTAGTATGAGTGGTCCTACGTTTTTATTTTAAATCCTGTGATTTATTTTTCAGCATTCATTTAACTACCAAGGAGATGAAAAACATATGATTGAAAGTTTGGAGAGCAATCTTGCAGACAGAGAGTTGGAGATACATGCATTCTGCAAAACAAACAAAGAATACTCATCAAAGGGAACGCAGTCTGAAAACCAAATCCCGTGCACTGTTAGTGACACAATAAAAATTACTGACGATGAGGTTTTGAAAAACACTGACATTTTAATTGAAGAGCAGAAAGAATCGGAACCACGTGTAAATGACGTTTCCTGCGCAGACGCTTGCGTTACAAGCGACAATCCATCAGACGCAAGTGCTGTGCTGCGTGCAAGTCCTCAGGTTTCTGACGCTCAGGAAGAGAAAACAGAAACTCAAAGCCATGTAATTAAAGATTGCATTGCAATAACAAACATGGAAACAGAAAGACATTTGAATCTGCTCGCTCCTGAAAAACAATTCATGGCAGACATCTGTGAGGTCACAAAAGAGGCTGAGTTACTAAATTTGTTGTTGCAAAATACTCCAGTAATTAATAGTTCCGAGAATTTACGTCAGCAAAATGTTTCAAACTTGCAAACTAATCCCACTGTTAGCAAACATAGTGTCGCAATGCCAGAATCTAAAGAAAAAAGTGCTTTATCGTCGGAAGAACAACACGAAAACGATAATGTTATAGTTTCTCATGAGATAAGTGAGCAGGGAGTATTAAGTGAAAAAAACAATGCAGATCGAACCGCTAACATTGATATCCAGCTAATTTCAGCAGAAGCCAGCTCTAGGCTTGCAACTGTTGAGATTGCTGACAATGTAATCGAGAACTCCACGGTTCCCCATAGGGCCCCGGACTGTGTTTCTGATGCACTTCCTTTATTAACGACATCGGCCAATGAGGTGATAGAGAGTTTTACGTCAGTTTCTGAAGGAATCAGCAACCAACTTGTAACCGGCCACGAAGAAAGTTCTACCAGTGTCGAGTCAGGAGCAGCCTTTGTCAATTTACCAATTCTTCACCTCGCCAACATCGCAACCGAAATAGCTACCACTTATAAGCAAATGTGCATTGCTCTACCAGATGCTGATTCTTGCGCCAGTGGTGTGGAAATATGTGAGCAAATAAGAAGCATGAGCACTGAAGTACAGCCGGCCGTTGAAAGTGACATCGTAGCTTGTGAAGAAAATACCGTTGCTGATGCTCCTTCAACAGCAGAAAAACACATTGATTCGCATGCTTTTGGTGATAGAGAGATCAAGGGTCTATCACCTAAAATAAAATTAGCAAGTACAGTTGATGAAATTGTGCATCAGCCATCACAGTCATTGGAGATGGTCACACATTTGCCACTTGAACAAGTTGCTGTGGACTGTACAGGGACTAATCCTGAGACTAAAGGCTGTGCTCCAACAGAACTGCCAGATCAGTCACCAATTGCGCTTGAGTGTTCCCATATAGGTGAGAAGTATGACGAGGCAGATGGAAAAATCTCCATGCTGGGACAATCCATTACAGATGACAAACACAATGTCTGTTCACCAACTGATGCCCCAAAAATTGTGACCACTTTATCTTTACGTGAATTTCGAAATGTTTTCTCGCGTGAACCAACGAGTAGCAGTAACACGAAAAGTAACAGCTTTCTAGGAAAGTGCATTGCAAAGGATCCAGCCACAGAAACTGCCAGCGTCTCCTCCTTGACATCGTTCCGTGCTACAAATCCTGATTATTACAGTATGTATAAGCATATTTTGTCAGAGAGAAAGGACACCAAAACGCCCACTTCCCACGCTCAAAGCTGCTCACCATATCTCGCATCGACCTCGAATGCGACACAGCGGGACGCGCGTGTTGGGGACAAAAAATATTGGGGGGGTTGCGGTGAGTTGTCTCGCGCGGCCCCACAGATCGCACAGCACAAGAACACCGCGGCAGTCACCTGTAGTGCTGCTGCTCACGATACGCTTACGTCTCCCGCGGACGGTGTCACACATCAAAGTACGAAAAGTATCCTACGCAATAACCTTTGGGCAACATCCTCTTCATCAAGCGCTGCTGTGAAACACCAGTTTAATTCTGGTGGGTGGAGTGCAACATTCATACATATTAATTACTGTTTAGACTTTGCTGCATTGTGGCTAAAGGACATTTGTCCCTGCTTAGTGTGGAGGGTTTCTTTGTAGCCTGCATATTTTTTGTAATTTATAAATCATCTAGACGGCAGTTATATCTCAAATATGTTGTATAAGTAAGGGAACGTTTGATTTCCAGGGCATGTTTATCAGGAATGGCAGTGAAGTTTTTTTTTTTTACACTGAGTGAAATATTAAGGGAAATACTGTTTCCATTGAATAAACGTGGTAATATTCCAATTGACCACATTTGAAACATGCAATTTATTACATGGGTTTATATATATGTCGCTCGTTCACGTCAGTATTTAATTCATAAAAAAATGCCATGCTACATATTTTACAGAAAGGTATCCCATTTAGCATATGTGCTCATGGCAGTTATTTTTTTTACGAAGTTGATATATGTCCACGTGACATTGAGATATTTTCGAGGGTGTACTATGGATAAAGACTCTGTGCTAATGGGTGATTTATCCTGGACATTTAATAGCTCCGTGCAGGGTGTCTCCATCCACGTAGTGATGCCTGCTTTTTGTCCCCCAACAATTGCCCTCATAGTTTCCCAGTTTTCTGTGCGCCCACCGCAAGGTCTTCCTGGAAACCAGCCACAGGGAATTTTCCCGGGCGACGTGATCAGCGGAGCCAAGCGGAAGAGAGATTACAGCGGGGAATGGAATGCGATTGTAGAGGCCTTTGACGTGGAACAGCCTTCGTCCAAGCGCGTACGCTAACCACCCCGTACCACGCCGAGACCGCTCAGCATGAGCTCACGCCCCGAGCATGTACAGCAAGCGCTTGTCTGCGTGCCAGCAGGCATTGGCTGCAGTACTGTGGTGGATGGCGACCCTTCCTTTGAAATTCACCTTCACAGTTTTCTTTTATTTCTGAATTATGTTTGTTGCCGTCATGGCTAGTGTGTTATTTAAAGGATTTATGTCGTTTCCAAACTTGATTGATCGGTCACTGAAAAACGTGGCACTCCTTAATGAAAGAATGGATTATTACTTTTACTTTTTTGGTATTCCTTTCCCACCATGCCCCTGATTGAACATTGCTTATTGTGTTGTAGTTATATAAATAATAATCGTGCTTTTTCATAATTTATATATGAAAATATATATATAAAATGTAAAGTTACATTAATTTGTAGTTGGCTGTTATTTCAAAGGTTAATTTTCTTTTTAAACAAGTTTGTCTCAATTTGTTCAAAGACCTTTTTTTTACAAATGGTAAATCTCTGTATCACATATCCTGAAAAAAAACCGTATTTGCTGTTTTTAGTGTTGGATGGTGTTTCTCGACAACCGGTTATTTATCCTGTTATCATGTACTTTCAAAACAGAGTCCATATGATTATAAGGACAATCTATTTTGGTCTCTTATAGGAATCCGTTGGGAAGAAATTACACGCCGCCTCTACACTGCACGCAACTGCTCCCGTGTGTGTGCATCCTGGCCCCAGTGTGGGACTGAAGGCCAAACACAATGTCACCGGCGTGGAACTGGTGGCTTTTTCCGATGACGAAGAAGACAACTGGGCTATAGGAAATCAGATCACAGACATACAGAAATTCTTAAATGTGGACAGACTAAAACTAGCAAAGAAATAGCAAATATTCTGAAGCTCAAATATACAAGTAAAACCAAGTTGCACTGCATGTTCTTTACGCATCAAAGTTGTTTTGAAAAAAAAAAGTATCGTAATCTTCCCAGCATTGAGCTGGCATAGCATGGTGCTATCTTAATCAAAAGGTGTTTCAAATATTTTAAATGTTTATTGCTGTTAAACGTTAAGGTCTTAACTACAGTGTTTAATACTATCGTTTTATTATAGTAATACAATCAAAAAGTTCGCAAATTGGTTATGTTTTATGTTCTACAAATGCTTTTTGACATGTTTAGGTAATGTAATCTATGTAGTGCTTCATTCGTCGTTTTAAACCACTACCAATTGGGCATGCTTGCTATCTTAGTCACTGCTTAAACAAAAACTATTTGACGTTGTGATGTTTCAAAAGCTTTTTAGACTCTTTTGCAATAGTCTACCTTAATGGAATGTTAATGTTTTGGATAAATATTTTAAATACATTTCCTAACACAAATAGGGTGTCAAATAAAACAATGACACATCGGAGCGGTGCTCATAGAAGTGGAACTGGTAATGTAAATGGGATGAATTTCTTGTGCTTCACGATTAGTCATATGATTGATTACCTTGTAATTGCATGATTTGTCAGAATATAAATTTGCAATTCGATCCAAGAATCTATTTTTTTCTCTACCATTGTGTATGTATACATCTCTAATGGCTGCAGGGTTTACGTGAAGCAATTGCAACAAATGAGAATTGAACATACAATTTGCATAGGTTATAACTTATTCGATTCGATGCGTGTACCAAGAGTGTAAGAATCATCATTTCGTCAGGAATTGATGCGTCTCTACATGCTTAGTTAAACGTTGTTTAATGAGCTTCAAAACCTCTGCTGAAGTTACAGTGCAATGATGGCTTTTGACATTCTGTCAAAACACTGCACTATATTAATCCGTGTCACAATGTAAATGGGTGCCCTGCACACCACGTTCCGGGCACTCTTTTAGGGATGTACAAGACTATATCTTCCACACTGGCTGCATGATTTGGAGTAGGTCATGTTGCTTGAATAAAATGTCATTTACTTCAGCATGTTATCTTAATCCATACACGCCTCTGTATCTCTCACTGAAATTCCATGCATGAATCTCTCTGTGCTTTGTAAAATGTTCTGTTTTCGCTGATTTTGTGCCTGTTAATGACCATGTTTCCGAAGCATATGTCGGAGCAAGTGGTGCGCACGATTACAAACCTACTGATTGTCAGGTTCTTCAAAATAATTACGGCTGAATTTCAAATCTAAATTGAATTTTTTTTACAGATTTGAGTGTTTAGTGGGTTGCCCTTCTCACGCACCTCCGATTAACACGATTGCCACTCCCCCCTCCTCGTCGGCCGCCTCTCGCCGGACCCCCGCCGATCGGGTAATCGGCCCCCCCACGCAATCGCCCTCTCTTAGGGACATGGCCAAGTGGCTGGCTCACCACCGCCCGGGGTTATCTCACGTGCGCTCAAATCACACCACCACACAAACGAACGCGGAGGCGTGCAAGCGCGCGCCCCTGCAGGCGCGTATTTCCCTCACACAGGCTGGCGCTGAACAAAAGAAACAGGGGCGATATGAATATGCACGTGCCCCTCCGGGTGGTTCAGCCCTAATCCGTGTGAACGCAATGCTAACGGAAAGTAGGACTATGGGTGCACGCCTCACCGTTAATGGAATTTTTACTGTGTAAACGCGCTGTGTGAACGCACCCCGCCACACTCACGCGGCACTGCAGGCGCGCGTTTTCCACACCCGCGCGTAAACGCGCAGCCAACCGCGGCCGTATATGTTGTAATACACGCGCGCCTCACACACGCTCAAATCACCTACTCCGCGCCGACACTGCAGCCCCGCGCTTACTCTCTCACGCACCCCGATCCCCCCGCGCAGACGCACAACATACAAATCACAGACACCACGATGAGGTTCTACCCACACACAGAAATCACACTTCACCGATATTCTGAACTAAAGCTTATTAATGGCGCCAATACGTACTGCGTGGAGGAGGAATATTTGGCGAGGAGAGCCTAGCGTAACTCTGCCTATGAACCCAGCTACTCGAACGTCCTACCACTTACCTGGAAACTGGACTCGCGGCGTCTCACGGATGCTGAGAGAGTCGAAGGGAGAAGGACAAGAGAAGACTTGCCCAGTCACTGTCTCGCAGCAGCACTCGCTGGCATCACACGGATGCTGTGAGCGGCTTGAAGAGGCAGGACGGCAGGCAGCGAGTGGGTCGTGACGGCCCGGAGGTTGTCGACAACTAAACGCATCGTCCCGGGGCTCCCACCTTTATTCTCTCGTGCCCCGTAGTTGGAGCCTTCGGTTCTGCTCTGTATGCCTAATATTCCACCCTCCGTCCTCCCCCCAATGTTGTGAGTAACTCATTGCGGTTGGCCCGGGGAACCTTTTCTTTTTGCGCCCATACAATTTCAAGCCAATTTAGGGGCACCGCAATGGAACCTGTCCTGTGGGGGTCGGCCAATTTCCTAGCACCGGGAAACCGTGGGACTCTCCCACCTGGGGGCCCTTCGGATTAAAACCCGAGGTGCCAGGCAACCCCCCGCCAGGACACTACGTGGGTGCATTGTGTGTGGGCGTGTGTTCAGTGCGGGGGGGGAGCGGTGGCGTAGTGGTTAGTGCGCTACGCTATGAACCTGGTGACCCTGGTTCGATTCCCGCTCACGGCCAACACCAGTGACGATTATCTGAACCGGTCCCGGGCCCTCCCTTAGGTCGACTCAGCCTCAAATGAGTACCTGGTGCGGTGTGTAAACATTGCCACTAGGGAGACAAAGGCGGTCGGGCGTGGTGCTGGCCACCCACCCCCTCGTGTACCGTTCCGGCCTTCATAGGTGCTCGCTAACAGCACTTGCCCCTACAGTCTGTTAAGGCTATACGGGGGATCTTTGTCTTTTTTGTCAGTGCGGGGGCCGGGAGAGGATCGCGGCGCTTGCGGAATTGCTCCGCGGTCGTGGCACCACAGAAGCAGTTCAACATCCTGTACATACAAATATCACTCACTGTGCATCGATTGCACGTATACATGTGGACTAGCTGTACTACCCGGCTTCGCCCGGGACTTGTATCCACCACGGCCGGCCGCCTTTGTCTCCCCAGTGGCGATGTTAATACGCTACAGCAGTTACTCGTTTGAGGCAGAGTCGACCTAGGGGAGGTTCAAATAATCGTCACCGGTGGTGGCCGTGAGCGGGAATGGAACTGGGTTCGCCGGGTTGGTAGCGCAGCGTAGCGTTAAGCACTACACCCACCGCTCCTCACACACCACACACGCACAGACACACACACAGACACACGCAGACACACACAGACAGAGACACACACACAGACAGCACGCTAACCACTACACTACCGCTCCCCACACACCACACACGCACACACACAGACACACACACAGACACACACACAGACACACACACACAGACACACACACAGACACAGGCAGCACGCTAAGCACTACACTACCGTTTCCCCTACACAACACACGCGCGCGCGTCCATAGGTACACATACACCCGCTTGCTGCAGACACACACGACTGTCAGGGTGCGTACGGCAGTAAACGACTGAAATAATAAAGCGGCAATGCTGCGCAAGGAACGCCTTAGACCTGCAACACATTTGTGTAATGCGAGCGTAAAGACACAAACTCATACAAACATATACACAATATACACACACACACATACATGCAGACACACAGACAGACACATAACACACATACATACACACACATACATACACAGAAACACATATACACACATACATAGACACACACATACATACACCCAAGCACATGCACACACGTACATACACACATACATACAGACACGCAGACATACACATAAAGACATAGAAAAAAACCCACATACATACATACACACACACAAACACATACATACACACATACATACAGACACACAGAGATACACCTAAACACATACACACATACACAAAAGACCCGGCTTCGCCCGGGACTTGGATCCACGATGCCCGTCCGCCTTTGTCTCCCCAGTGACGATGTTCACACACGACAGCAGTTACGCGTTTGAGGCTGAGTGGACCTAGGGGAGGGCCAGGTCCGTTTCAAATAATCGTCAGCGGTGGTGGGCGTGAGTTTGAATCGAACTGGGGTCGCTCAACCAGCTTAATGACTATTTGTACAAAGAACATCTAAAGAATCGATTATAATAACCAGGCTACAGTCCACATTATAGACTGCCAGTACACGCAGTCAGCTTCATAAGCAGGCTAGAGTGTACATGATAGAGTGGCAGTACGCTCACCGAGCTTAATAAGCAGGCTACAGTCTACATGATAGACTGGCAGTACGCTGACCCAGCTTAGTGACTATTTGTACAGTGAACATTTAAGTAATCAATTGTTGGCGCGTTGGGTTTAAAAGTAATATAAATTGCACACATTGTGGTGGGGGTGGAGTGAAGAGTAGGACAAACTTTGCGGAATTTACCTCAGAGTGGCGTGGTGGGTGTCGAGGCCTAGTAGCGTGCAGAGCCTGCGGCCTCGCCTAAATTGTCCACCCGGCAGAGGCAGGGTACGGGTGGCGTGCCTTCCCCCCCCCCCCTCAGCGCTCCAACAACACTGTGTAATGGCTATTATTTAATTATTTTCGGAGCCTATGAAAGTGGCGAAGGCGTGGCTAGCCGTTGGCAGGGGCAACCGCCGTCCAATGAAACTGCAGCCCTTGGCGAAGGCGTCGCTAGCCGTTGCCAGGTCCAATGAAAGCGGCAAAGGCGTCGCTATCCGTTGCCAGGGGCAACCGCCGTCCAATGAAAGTGCTTATGGTCCGAAATCCACACACACACACACAGACGGACAGACAGACATTCACGATTTTATATATATAGATATAATTCCTTTGTGAGAGATAACGTGTGTGGTCGTGCGCATACGCTTGAGAATGCATTTAAAATGTAAATTCAAACAATGTTTGGGAATGTTTCCATGGAACATTTATTGTTGCAGTTTAAAACAGATAGCTATGTTTTAATACACGGGGGGTCAATTATCCACATGCAATTTAAAAATAATACGTTCGGAGCTAATAACTTATCGGCGCTCTGTTGCTTCAGTCGTGCGTTGCACTGCGCGGGTTGCAGTAATAATTTTCAAAACAGTATTCACTTTTAATTGATTCCATATCCTTAAATTCCAGATCCAGTGTTTGCATCAAGGGTGGCACAGTCGGGTTTTATACAATCGGGTTTAATTGTCTTTTTATTTTAAACCCGATCATCTGAGATTGGGAGAAATCCGGTTTAATTGGTTCTAATTTCAGAACCGCACTTCGCCAACTTCTCAACGATGGGCTTCATCCATTCCAAGCTAAGGAACTCACTGGCAGTGCCCACGATTGTGGAGGAGAAGCTCCTCGTGTTCATCAAGACCAACCTGCCCGCCGCATTCTACGACTACCCCGTGCCCGACGGCCCCCCCGAGTACGATAGCAGCACCGACGAGGAAGCAGCCTAAGCCTTGGATCAGAGTTTCGTATTCATTAAACCAGGTTTAAATTCACCGAAATCGGGTTTAATTGTATTAAAGAAAATACCCGATGCCTGCCGCTGGAAAAATCGGCTTTTTTTCCACCCATGGTTTGCATCCACCAGTACTCGCTGCTGTCACGTGGCCTGTGCCATGACGAAACAAGATTGCAAGTCAGAAAGTCAAAAGTTTAAAATGTAAGGCGAGTGATAACATCAACCACCCATTGTGTATTCATTTTCTCTACCACAACATACTCCCTCGCACATATTTCAAGCCATTAACACTCGTGTTCTTCCACACAACACATCAGCCATCTCCAGTGGCCAACAGTGGCAGTAACAAGAGCCTGGTTCAGATCAAAGACTGCTGGAACAAGTGCTGTTAGCGAGCGCCCATTGAGGCCAGTGCAGTGCCCTAGGGGGGTGGTGTGGTCATCATCAACACCACATCCTGCATGTCTCCCCAGTCTATACATACTGCACCAATACAGCACACATCTAAACCTGCATCAA